GAATATCTCATGTAGATAAATATGTATTGTCGTCGCACTGAATATCCTCAGACGGAACCAACCCCGCAACAAAACATGTTTGCATGAACGATACAGTAATGATCCTAGCATAATATGATAGCGTAAAATGATATCCTGATAATGTATGTAATAGAAAACGATCTTTTTTAAAATAATGATATAATATGCAAGTTGGAGAAAAACTGTTTAATACACAACCTGTTTGATCAAGGAAATATACTAAACAACAATAGTTCCTGTGACACCAATACTTTAGTGTATTTTTCAAACAAGTAAAGTTTGGTTTTCAACATTGTAGTACATGTATGAAATCAAGTCACAAAACTGCTGCAGAAAAGCATGCACTCCATGCAAAAGTTGACTTTTATGCAAGCCCCATGCATTTCACTAGTACCCAAGAATGGGTATAAAACATGTGCGTTAACGGGATTCCATATACATTGTTTAGCATCGTGCGGACAACAACCACTCAGAAAAACAACAAAATTACGCAATTATTCAACATTACGAAATGCCACGCATGTCCGAAAATGAGCGTCTGCGAGCAGTTGGTATGCCTGAAGCGGGATCGGGTCAACGTGATGTTCCAAGACAAGTTAACGTCCACAGAAACACCATTTGGTGTTTATGGCAACGTTGGCAACAGGCGAATGCAGTCAGAGACCATCCTCGGAGTGGCAGGCCACGCGTAACCAATAATCGACAAGTCAACTGGATTCGAACAACACACCTACGAAATCGATTCCAGCCAGCAACAGTGACTGCAAGTAGAATCCCTGGCCTTCGACGAATATCTTCACCAACCGTACGTCGCCGCCTCAGATGTGCAGTGATTGTCGCCAGAAAACCCACCAGACGTCCCATTTTGACAGGAAACCACTCAGTCTGCCAATCACGTCTACAGTGGTGCAGACAGCGTCTACGCTGGACGGCCATGCAGTGGGGACAAGTTATATTCACTGACGAGTCTCGTCTTCACCTCAGCCACAGCGATGGACGGATTCGAGTGTACCGACGTCGAGGTGAACGTTACGTCAATCATTGTGTCATGGAAGAAGATCGGTTCGGGGGCGGCAGCGTTATGGTATGGGGTGGGATTACAGCAAGACAGATGACCCGTTTGATAGTGGTAGAGGGAAATCTCAATGGACAGCGCTACCGCGACGAGATCATCGGCCCTGTTGTTCTACCGTTTTAGCGTCGTCATGGCCCAGGCATTACCTTTCAACATGACAACGCCCGGTCTCATATTGCTCGACTTGTTCGGGATTCTCTTCAACAAAAAAACGTGAATATTATCCCCTGGCCGGCTCGCTCCCCTGATCTCTCACCAATCGAGCACATGAGGGATGAGATGGATCGGCGTCTTCGACGTCAACCACGTGTTCCACAGGCACCCCAGGAACTTCGAAACATGCTCCAACTGATATGGACACATATCCCACAGGAAGTTGTGCGACGCCTGGTCCATTCCATGATACGAAGATGTGTTGTTTGCATCGCAACCAGAGGTGGACACACACGCTATTGATTTGTAAATTGACATTTTGGCATGTTCATGGTTTTTTTTATGAAATCACGCATTTTCTGAAGTCAGTATGGCAAATTAAACCATATGAACACTTACAGGAGTCTTTGATCTGTTGCAAACCGAAATTGTTTCAGATTTAGTGAAAAAACATAACTTTGCATTAACTCTTATTCAATGTCACAGGAACTTTTGTTGTTCAGTGTATATACTTTGTTTGAAATGTATATGAAATATTGCAATGACTGACCTGATGTTTTAAGCATTGCTCTTAATCAAGTGTACAATATATCTTTTTCATATGGTCAAGACATGATATTACCAGAATTAAACAATACTGAATATGAATTCGAAAGCAAAAGAAGCTCAACATTAGTTATTATTTAGGCTCTAGAATTTTGTACTTCCATTATATTTATATCGTATTTCTTTTCTTATTAGAGAGATACGAATATATATTCCATCTAAAGCGTAAACGTGTTTTGAATTATCTACAAGAACAAGGATATTACTTGATTTTGTTGATGCCACATTTACGAGGATGGCTGAAGAGGTCTGAACTGATTTACTGCGCTGCTTGTTCAACATAATCCCCTCCGAGGCCCTCACACTTCTGCCAACGATGATGGGGTAGACTTCACCCTGGTGGTGTACAACGTCTTTCACAGCAGAAATGACGCCATCATTATTAACATAAAGCTTGCCAGACAGTTCTTCTTCAAGCTTGGAATGTGGTTAATACAAAGAGTTCAAAGCTACAGCCATGCTTTGCAGCCACGGTGACAACATATTTGTGCATAGGTATATTTATAGTGGTCGAGTAACACACCTTCAAAGAGTTTTCCACGGCATTTAAGAAGATTAGCATGATATTAGCGATACATGGTAGTCCACCAGTAGGAATTCTTTAGAAACCATCATCACCTTGCCAGCTGATGGAACAGAGTTTGCTCGGATGAGGTGACGTTAGATGTTTCCACTGCTTTGTCTGCTGTTTAGTCTCTGGCTGATAATGGTACGCTCAAGATTCATCCATGGCTACAAACAGCTAAACAAAATCAGATGATTCTGCTTCACAACGACGTAAATTCTCACGAGAGATGTTGCACCTGGTGCATTAATGATCAAGTGTCAGAAGCCTTGGAACCCAGCGTGCTGAAATCGTTGCGATGCCTTTGTTCATGCTTCAACTCCTGTTCTCTGCTCTCTCGTGAGACATGCTTATTATATTGGTTGTGCGAGGTTTGGGCCCTCGCGGGTGAAAAACATAATAATATCATCTATTTTCCTGATCTTGGATCATCGTCGAGGCTAAATCTTCCCCTCGAACACCGCTGCCCACCTCTTAACAGAGGCAATCAGCGTCATCCCCTAAAGTTAACATCATGCACCGAAGGCTGCTCGAGTTAGCCCTTAGAGTTGGAAATACTTGTTGACCTCACGGTACCCAAATGTTCATTCTGAGGCCTGCAGAAATAGACTTCCTGGTTGTGTATTTGATGCAAATGCAGCCTGCAAGCATAGGAATAGATTCACATATATATTCTTCAAAAAAGGAAACGCAAAGCCAGATTTGTGTGAGGTAGGCAAACACATTTTTACGAGGGACCGTACAAGGTATAGTGGCAAAATGTTGTGGAGAAAACACTTGGTGATTGTAGTCATCTCAGTTATCGGTACATAGGAAAGGTCCAAGGTGAAGGTCAGCTACCATCAATAACGAGTATCCAATTCATCCCACAGGTGCTCTATCGGATTCAAATCCGGGGATCTGGAGGGCCAGGGGAGAACATCAACGAGGTTGTTGTGTAGACAGGATCTTGTGATCCGTGCTGTATGCGGTCGAGCGTTGTCCTGCTGGAATACATCGTTGCCGTTGGCTGCAATTGGGAGGGCATGTGGTAGGAGACTTTCGTTGATGTATCGTTGAGCCATAAGATTGCCCTGGATATGGACCAAACCAGTCCTGCCATGATGAGAGATAGCCACATCATAACGCTACCCCCAAACCTGTCCACTTCTTGTACGCAGTTTCGCGCATAACCATCTCCCCGACGTCTTCCATCCCCTCAACGGAGGAGAAATCTTGATTCGTCGCTGAGCCATCTTAGTTGAGGCCATACCCTGTGTTGACGACACCAATGCAGTCGTTGTTGACGATGTTGTCGACTCATTATGACGCGTCGAACAGGACGGCTTGCTCGCAGACCTGCTCTTAAAAGGTTTCGTACGGTTTGGTCGGAGATTCCGCGCAGTCCGGGTATTTGGGATGCGGTTGAGGTGGCTGTGGTCGTTCTTTCAGTCGGATGTAGCGATCTTGGGCGGGGTGATTACCCTTGGTCGTCCCGACCTAAGCCGATCACGTGTTGACCCATGCTGTTGAATTTGATCCCATAGCCTTGTGATGGTTCTTGGCGCTACATTGAAAACCCTGGCCACAGCTGCCTGCAAGCGGTCTTTGACGTTGTTTAATTTCTTTGCACTCCTGTTAACCTTGGCATGTTGTTGAACTGTTACTGCTCGATTGACGCAGATGCCTGGTAATCACAAACCCTGCACTTTTATAACGTTCATAGTGCTGTTGCACGTGCAGTGCGTGCAGCTCAATGGCCCTTTTGTTAATGCACTGGGTCCGTTTTTTTCCGAATCGTACGTGTTTCCCGACTAATGGTTTGCATGCGGTTTGCTTATGATCATTTTGATACGGGAAATTTGTTACTGACGCTATAACACATTAAACTTCTTCATTTTGCACCTCATGGTCCGCTAACTTTGCTTTTATGGCCAAAAATATCCCTATTGCGTTTCTTGTTTTGAAGAGTATAGTTCAAGAAATAAGGTTATCGTATTTTCAAAATATATATAAATTGGTCCGAACGGTATCTCTATTATAACACACTTGCAGATTAGCGAAACATTATTAAGGAGCTATATAATTTAAATATGTGTAGATTTTCCTGACGTTTAATTTCCAAAAACCGAGGTTTCCAGAGAAAGGGGTCCCGGACTGTATGGATATTCGTAATCGTAATTTCGTTTGTAATCGTGTATATTTTCGTGTCGCTGACATCAATTTGGACAAATTGGTTCTGGGAATGCCTGTAGTAAAATGAATCTAGTCTTAAGTCCAACAATAAAAACCTAGGTAAAAATTACGTTTAGCAATGTGGTATAGGAAACACTGTTTCCTCCGGAAGAAGCATATGGGCGTGATGCCTAATAGCTGTCACACGTGGGAGTGGTCTGACATGGCGACCCTCATCTTATTTCACAACCAACACTGATTGGTTTGGTATCATGATAATCTCATAGGTCAGAGGTATATATAATCACATAAAACACTCCTACGACCGAGATATCATTGCCTGTATTGAAAATACAAAACACACTGTACTAGTTTAACGCTCTGTCATATGTTCATTTTCCATCCAATCCAGGAGCTATAATTCAATGCAGATTTGAAACGCATACCTTATCACATCAGATGTCAGTGTTAGATTACAATCTTATGCCACCAAGTAAATAGTTGAAACCACGATCACTCCACTCTGTAAGTGGGCTTGGGAAGCGATGAGGTAGTTACACTTCTCCCGTGGATCGTCGCTCGTAAAACAAGCTGGTGTATTGATCTGAGAAGTTGTGAATGATACCAAGTGACGACACAGGAGCAATACACTTACAGGATCCAGCGAGTGGCTGCCAGTCGGGTATGTTAATGTGGCTAGCGTAAAGAGGCGTCTTGGCATCGTGTGTCTACTTTACGTAGGTTGTGGCACGAATTGTATCACTCACTCTGCTGCATCGATGACAACATTCTAGGGAAGCGACGACAGCGGAGTCATACGCACCATTGTCACACTGCCTTCACGGCTGACGTGAGTTTCAAAGTTTACTACTTTTACATTTGAACATGGTAAATATATTTAGGTCACTGGACTTAATTGGTCTTAATTATACCATATAATTCGTGGTTTTATTGTAATTAAAAAATCACGTTCATGTATATATTTTCATTTGGCTGTTCCATGTGTGCAATGCGATATCATTATTTAGTAGTAAATATAATATATGAAGGTATAGCATATAAGACGTATTTTTGTGCAAACAACTTTGTTGCTAGCAATATTGTATAAAAATATATATTCTCAAAAATGTTTCTGATGTCAGCTGTATGTCATTGTTCATTATCTGATAACAATATTTTGGATAGGTTAGTAGAGTTCAGTACTTATACAATCATATTGACTTGACCGGCTACTGTCGCTGGTAACATGTAGCTATCATGGTCAGATCCTCTGGTATGCATTATTAACTCTTATGGGTTTGCCGTGACAGGCACGAGTGTCACAGAGAATGACCTGTTTATTACTGTACTGATGCTTTACTTAGAGTAAACATAAAGCACGTAAATGGCGATTCATATCCGCCATCAAGACGTCAAAAGTTCTGGAGTTCGTAGCCTTTTGAGATTATTGTCTGTTTAATCCAGTTGTCATATCATTATTGTAACAGCGATCGAATGTACCGTTGGGTTAACTTTTGTGTGAAATGCTATTTACGTCGTTTCTTTAAAAACAAAATCCAATAGCAGTAAGAAGGCTCCATTTCAAACATCTATGTATTTACATTAATTCAGGTGTTGAGAGGATTCACAAATCGGAATGCCTGCTCCAAAACAGAGTAGCGTAACTCGGTTCGATTCCACACCTAGGGAGAATGTCTGAATCCGAAACTGGAGGTATGCAGGGATATTGATACTGTTTTGTAGAATATGGCGAAAATACCCCATCCTCTCACTAACTCTCTGAAATAGGGGTTAACCATGTTCTTTTTCAGTCTTCCTTCGTCATACATGTTTATACACAGTTATTTTCTGTTATTTCACATGACATTTAATATACACTATCAACTTCAGAGAAATCAGTTTCTATTTATGCGACAGTAATCTTGCCACGGTATTTACAACAATAAGTGTCAGTATGATTTGGTTCGACTCTGCAAAGTGCTTTTTCGTGACCAATAACTTTGGCAGCTAAGCTTGCACAAAGCGCGTGTCACAAAAGTCCTCGGTTTCGGGATCGAGTGAAGCTTGACCAAGCTTTTAGCCTGTTTTCAGCAATAAAACGGTAGGGGACACGAAGTGTTGCTTTACACATTGTCCCCATATTGGGATCGAAGAAATGTATTCGGTAATTAGAAACATGCTTTCTTGTATAGGCATTAGAAACTTAATGCCTCAATAGGGTTTGTACAATGTTATGTGAAATAACAGATCAATAGCAACCAAACAAAGACAAATATTTGTCTCATATACGTATATTTGCTGGTTTTGATATTCTCAATGTTTTCGTGTTAACTTCAAAAACGTTATCATCAGGTCCTGCCTGACGGCACAGAAGGGAATAATTACTTACAAATCATAATCGCGATCACTTTCAAAATGTTAGCAACGACGTCGTAAAATACCATGGGTAGTTGTTCGCTGCCACACCGACGCCTATATGTGTAATACCCTATTCAATGTCAAGAAACTTGCAAGTTATTTGAAGTGATAGTCCAAATCAAGACTCAGATGACGCCTTGATTGAGCAACTTCTATGGCCTTCGTGCCTTATACGATCATATACATTTTCTTTTATTATCACATTGGAGAATAACTGGATCGCATTGGTAACTTACAGTCTAACCATCCCAACACATCTGAGTCACGCAATCGCCTGATGGCGAAAGATAACAATACATGAGAAGAGAGCACTTCTTTAATAATCGCGATGCTGATTAAAGAACAAATTGGCTACACAGTTATGGTTCCGAAACCAATGGACGATGTTTTATACAATTTGTCCCACCTTAACCAGCTCAAGTATACATATTGTATCATCTCTTCATTCATTTGTACTAGTCCTTCATGGCTTTGTTGACCAACAGCTCACATAGAAAGACCATGGCATCATTCGCAAGTCTGTCACAGAAATGGACTCGTTTTTATAAAAAAAAGTCCTTATTGACGTGCTTTATAATACGTCAGCATTAATATTGTCATCATTTATTATAATATGTTTTCTTCACTTAATGAAGTGAGATTTTGAAAGACAGAAATATGTGTAAAAAAGTTAAAGAACTGAGCCCTATCTTAAATCACATTCCTCATGATGGAGTTACCGTGTACTCCAGTGGTCTGATCGATAAAATATTAAGCGATATTGAGCAAACCATGGATAAAATTGCCTAGTTAGATTGACACAAATCCCCACGGACCTTCTTTGCGGTCATTGAACAGTATCATCTGTTTCGATACCTAAATCATATAAACGAATTCTTGACAATTCCGTTTCACACGTTTAATGCATGAAACCTAACACGCAACGTGACAAACGTCTCTATCTCAAAGGACATCGATCAGCTTCTTGGCATTAAGAGCATATTTCTTTTCCCTTTCTTGCCTTTGTACAAATGACCGGTAAAAAATCATGTAATTAAGATGGTATTCTTTTCAGAGAGTGGGAATATTGGATCGATGGCAAAATGATGCCTGATCAATTTAAGTTGTTTTTAAAACGTGTACTAAAAGTGTAACTGATTCAATACACTGAATCAATCCTAATGTGTGCCGATGTGGCGCCTGTGCTTCAATTGTCATATAATAATGTTACATTAAATATGGCTCTGTTCAAGTCTCCAGAACTACCTTGTTAACTCGAACCATGCACACAATATGTTTCTCATATTTCGATCAAACTTGTCATACACTTTCATGTGACTGATGGTAAAGAATGATTTGAGACTCAAGCTATTCGTAAGACTGTTGGTGAGAGTGATTGCTAAATCGATCGTGATACTGATCGGACGCAGATAAAAGCGACAAAGCGACAAAACTGGTTTTAATACTGATCAAAAAACTAATCGTACGTAAGATCAATGTTGTTGGTATGTCCTGTAGTAAGATTTATCGTGAGAACGATCGCTAAGCAGAGCCATCGGACTGTCTTGTCCATGAAAATCAACGCGTCACCAGCTGAATGTTCTTGGGTAATTCGTTATTACAAATGTTGCGTTGCAGTGTTTGTTTGTTTGTTGTTTTACGCCACACTAGCAATATTCCAGCATTATAACGCGTTTTGTAAATATTCGAGTCTGGACCCGATAGTTCAGTGATTGACATCATGAGAATCGATCCACGCAATAGGGATACGATGACATGCACCAACCAAGCCACGCCTGACCACCCGATCCCGTTAGTCGGATCCTACAACAAGCATAGTGATTCAGTTGACTTGACCCTCGTGTCACTAACATGTTTGGCAGGTGGGTTTCGCAGACACAAACAAAATAATTTATGGGTACTTAGTCTGCTACGGAGACGTACATCTTGTTAATACGGTAGCCTTATCTGGATTTCTCAGTACCACATCCAAGCTTATCCCGTGTGTATGGAGGATTTACACTGACATTCCATTAGAAAAGTCGTTCTTCAAATCACATCAAACACATGCTCAGGTTTAATGTTTTTCATTCAATGTGCCTGATATATACTCATCCCCGCCAAGTGAAGGAAAGACGTTTTGAAGCCAGTTACGTCTTCCTCTAATTTAACGTCTGTAACATCAGAATCTGTTTGATGTGCTCTTAACATCCTGTGATGAGAGCGCCTCAGCTCCACAGAAGCTCTTAGTTGTTCACGCGCATGATCCAGGGATGGTCCCCTCTCCAGGTGTGTGTGTGTGTGTGTGTGTGTGTGTGTGTGTGTGTGTGTGTGTGTGTGTGTGTGTGTGTGTGTGTGTGTGTGTGTGTGATAACATATAAGATCAAGTTCACAAAGGCGAGAACTGACAGCTCTTTATTTGAATACCTATAATCTCCACATTTTGTTTCTATTGATTTGTGGAGTATACAGGTTATGGCTCTGTCGTGTTACAGACAATGTGGAGAAGGATGTAATATTTCATTAGTTCTTGACATGTGTCATTTTGGCCTTTTGAATCTTTGACTTTTACAAGATTTGCGGATGCTCTTGACGATTAGTATACGTTGTCTCCTAGCAACATTTGGTTCCTATGAGCACTAGAATAACGCCTAAAACCTGGGAGTGACCAACTAAACTGATTTTAATGCAGTTGTGAAGGCAATAATCTCGACTTATGGTGCATCTCTGGCACATTGCTTGATGTCGTTGCGGGGCCAAGAGACCAGAGGCTACGTTATTAACTATGACGTGAATCTTTTAGCCAGGCCTGGATGTCCTGGTCGAAGGTTTGATGCCTGAGTCGCTCCGATTAAGATCCCTGATCTGTTAGAATATTAGCTCTTCTATGACATGTGGCACTTTAGGAATAAATTCCCCAAAATTAACAAGCCGTGGTATTATTGAATTGTTGTTCAATCCCTACTTAATAACCTTTTGAAGTCGTAGCTTCAGATTAAAAATATTGAAACTGTTATCGCGATGAGTGAATGAGTTGGGGGTCAACGCCAATTTAAACAGTAACCTCAATTCATCACGGCTTGTCAATTTCTTGTGAGAGAAAAGCCTTTTCGGAAAATGTGAAGACTCCCTTAACTTTTCGGAGAATGTGAGGACTCCCCAACACTGCAGCCTTCTGCACTGCCTTAATTGTCAGAAGGACTGTACGTGTATTCCTGGTCGCATACCCGGGTACCCTCCAAATGTCAGTCAACAGATTGGTAGGTACCAAACCTAAGGCACGGGAACAATGGGGAGTCGGACAACTTGGTACTTGGGATGCAAGCGTGACATTTCGAAAGTGAGGTCCGCATATTTGCCATGTTTGTCCTCAATCTTGTCAATCACATTAGTGCCAAGAGGGACAGAAAATTCAATGATATAAATGATTTCACGCCCTGTACATATTTCGGG